TTTTCTATTTTATGACTCTGTAACCAAATAAGATTGAAGGCTATAAAAATTATGCTTTGCCTGAGTAATAACAATATTGTAAGGAGTAATTTAAGTTAAATTCTGTACTTCTAGGAGAGGTGGTAAATACATTTGAGAAGAGGGAAGACCTAGAGAGCAATGTCGCAATTCTCATACTAGAAGAAATTGAGGATTTTTTTTATATTACACTATAAAAGTTAAAATTCAAACTTGTATAGTATTAAAATTTTGATTATTAGCAATGTTTTGATGCCAAGTTGAATCATATACCATGATAATAAAGTAGTTTAATTAAGTTTTGAATGTAACTTGGTAAAACCTTATGATATTCACAGAAAGTGATGCCCATATGGAAACAGTTAATAAAATGGTCCGTAAGTCAGCAGTTATGGAAGGAACATATAATGCCCTGGGTATATTGTATTATATATATACCTATTTGTGTAGGAAAGATTTGAAAGATATCAAAATTAAAATGAACAGTTTGCTTATTTTGGTAATGTCTGGCAGTTTCAAGATAAAACAAATCTACACCATTTTGGTGAGTTTTTATTTCATACCTGAATTTACACTTTTATCCAAAATAGCTATAATAATTGTATAAAATAATAATTTGTGAATAATTTTGTGTTAGTTCATTATGAAACAAAATATACATCACTAAGGTCATTGTCTGGAGCACATGATGTTATGATTCATAGTACAGCTTCGACATGGGTCATGGTCAGGCATCAAAGCAGATATGAAAAGAATACAATATGCTCTAAAACAGTGTATAATACTGTTAACATATGCAATTGTTTTATAGATATCAGAAATATGGGTTTACTGTAGTGTATGGTTAGCAAATGAAAGTTTTGTGCATGTACACAAATCGGGAAATATTGCTGTAATATATGGCATATGAGAAGCGTACTTGTTAAAGAGTATTCCATTTTACAACAGCATTTGTTCATTTATGAAAAGAAATGCATCATTCAAATATATGTATTATAAAAGCAATGAAGCATCAGATAATAGTAAAACACTTGTATACACTATAAACAAATTCTCAAACTTGCAGCTGGCCTGGAAAGTTTTTGATGGACAGTTGTTCTAACATAATTGACTTGTCAAACAAAAACTCTGCCTATGTTGTCTACATAATTATACCTTTACCTTCCTTGTAACATGAGCTTCAAAACAATATTGGGTTAGCATGGATAAGCCCCTCAGTGGTTCTGGTGTAAGTTTGAGTGCTAATAAAGCTAAAAATTGAGTTTCAGTACCAGCAATGGTCAGAGCACAGATAACCTATTGTGTAGCTTTGTGTTTAACAATAAACAAGTGCACATGGATATCATGCAGAAATATGGCTCATTATTGGAAGGAAGAGTAAGCATACTGAAAGTGAGAGGCTGGGAAAAAATCTAAAGTTACAAACTTCTAAACACATTATCTGCTGTAAAATGTCATATATTCTGAAGTCTTAAGCATAAGGTTCTTAAGAAAATTTTACAGAAATTAATTCAAAATACAGTAAAATCAACTTTTACAGTAGGCATGTTGTTATTTTAGTAATGATGACATTTCAACCCATAGTGTTGAGTCATGATCAGGTGAAAGTTACACTCAAAGACAGTGGAATTTGAAAGAATGATACAGACTCATGTTCATGAGGATAATTTTGCAGGTGGCATTAAATTAAATATTTTAAGTATTTATTTGTAAGTATATGTTGAAAACATGTGTCTTTTGTTAATAAGTATAGTTTTATACATGTGTATATATTTACCTCTAGGACTATTGTACAGTGCTAATTCCTCCCCATGTGCCTCAAACTCTGTATGCTTATATTAATGGAGAATCAATACTGATCTACATCATATGGATTTTGTTTCAAGCCATTTTAGTTTGCTTACCTTTTGGAAATGTGGTTGAGGGATTTCCAGTTTTGGGGAAGAAAAAGACTCACATTTGGAAGTATCGCATGAATGGTATTTTCTTATTCTAGTATCGCATTTGAAAAATTGTTTCAAATTTTGTCTTTTTGCCATTTGCCTATCCTTACTTTTTTGCCATGTAATTGTGATAAATATAGGACAAATAGCTATTAGTGTATGTAGAATACATAAAAAGGAAGATTTTTAAATATATCAACACACTTAGATTTGTATGTATTTTATAGATTGTGAGTATATTTTGGTTTTTCTGACAGAGACATTACATAAATTTGTCATAGAAAACCTATTTTTCTTACTAAAGTTGTAAATGAAAAAAAAGTTTTTGCATAGATTGGGCATAAGTCTTATGTAATAGAAATATGATAGAAAAAATCAGACTTTAATTTCAGCAAATGGTACAGAATAGGTAATTAAAACCTGTCTTGTTTAGCTGAATGGAGAAAAATAAATTTCCAGTATACTTGTATGAGTGTGTGTGTGTGTATGCATATATATATCTCTACAGATGGAGTTTTGCATGTGTATGAAAAATATATTTTGTTTGTTTGTCTTAGGTTTTGCTGAACTGATTGTGAGTCTTCTGGTGCTCTTCGTTTTAGGATATTTTAACTTTCCACTGACATTTGTGTACTCCCATTTCATTCATCTGATAGTTGCTTCAGTCCTTTTTTCATTTGTGTTTTCTGTTTGGTTGTATTTCAAATCATTCCAAGCTCCAACGTATAACATCAATCCTGAAGCTACAACTGGCAAGTCCTAATACACTACATATATATATATATATATTTTAATTTTAAATCATATTTTTTGTATAGACCCCCTCATTCCTCATACTCTACTCACCCTTGATATAAAATACATCATTGTATCTTTGCATATATTAAGTGTGGAAACAGGAGGGGGGTAAGATGTAAATTCAATTTTTTTTACATGAAGTAACATTTAGTGTAAGACTGATTTTAAATAGTAGCTGGTAAAATTACAGTGATATAAAATACATTTTATTATTGTTGTTATAATAAGTTAAAAAACGTTTTATATTTTCTAAAATTTATAAATGATATTTATCTATGAATAAAACAAAAAAGGAATGTATTTTGACCTCATGGAAGCTAAAAGTTATCTTGATTACTTTCAGGGTACCAATATTATGATTTCTTTGTTGGACGAGAAGTCCATCCTCGAATTGGAAAGATGTTTGACATCAAGCTATTTGTTCTGAATGCTGGAATGATTTCTTGGGTAAGCATGTTTCTATAATATTTAACTTTAGTTAGTTTCTCTTTCTGCATTATGTAAATGTTAGAATATAAATCACCAGCATATTAACAACACCTAAAAAGTTTCAGAATGGTTATGTATATGTATGTTATTACCAAAAAATATATTTTGTAAGTAACTTACAATTGTTACATATTGAGAATTTAAAATGGTCCGAAGCCAATACTTTAGTTAATTTTGCTATTTGCCAACAAGATTGACACACACCATTTTCGTTTTTCACATAAATACGTTTTAATATATATATATATATATATATATACAACAGTACTTACAACAACAATTATTATGAATAGTTACCACAAGCAAATTTTTATAAAACAAATTTCACTAACTTACAAACAACATAAAATCTTCTTTCTTGTTCAGTGTCTCCTTGATATCCAGCGAGTTAACTTGAAGTCGATGTATGTACAATTGCCAAAAAACTAGCTAGCTTTGTCAGACACTGAATTGTTGGACCGTTGAAGTAAGATAATATTTTCATAATACCACAAATGCCTGAGGAGAATTCAGTAATACTTTCGGAAAGATACTAATGACCAATGAGAATCCACCAACGTTCAAAATTTATAACTGTTTCTGGTCAAATGGTGTAAATTTTCCGGTTGGTAAGGGTTAGCAAAATCACGATTTATAGCGTACACGGTTATAGCAGGCTCCTAGCCAACTTTTTAAGCTCTCTCTCTTTTTTTGGCACGTCGCCATGGCTGTTTTTGTAGGCACTGGAAAGATTTTTTCGAAAATTCCAACAAAAATACTGAGCTATATTTAACTGGTTACAGATATGGATATATTGTTGATTCTTACGTTCACGAATATTCTACTACCTTGGAGAATTGGCGGGAGTTTCACAGTACGTAATTCGTTAAACAATATTAATGTTATTTATTATTGTAGGTTAATATTCATTTTCACATCCTAACTTTTTATAATTTCAGGCTGTGGTGGATGTCTGTTTGGTTTTCAAGTCTTTTATGGACAAAGGATGTGTTAATTACCCACTTGCTTTGACTGCAGTTTTTCAACTAATCTACATTATAAACTATCTTTGGCATGCTGTAAGTTTTCCTGTGTTAGTATTGCATTAAATATAGTTTTTGTAAAGAGCGTGACTAAACTTATTACATATGCAATATAGGACTGTATAGATAAGACAGAATATACCATTCCATATTTTGTTGGTTTAATGTTTTTCTTCATAATTATTAGTTTAGTTACATTCAGAATATAGTTTTATCATCAATGTATACAAATAAACTTGGCATCAAAATGTAGTTAATAAATCAAATTTTAATACAAGTTTTAATTCTTAATTTTATTAGGAAATATTTAAAAATAATCTTCAATTTCCCTTAGTTATGAGAGTTGTGACATTTGCTCTCTAGGTCTTCCCTCTTCACTAATTTATTTAAAACCACTCTGAGAATTATGGAATATAACATAGATATTACTCAGGCAAATCAAAATTTTATAGCTTTCAATGTTTCTTGTTTATGGAGCTATAAACTAGAAAATCAGACCCACTTGCCATGCCCACCTATCACATACTCTCTTTCACAAGTTGTCAATATTTCTCTCTAATGTTTTATACTATATTATTTATAAACAGTAAAAAACACAAAGTTTTAATCTATCAAATGACTTATATTATGTTGTTTTATGTACAGGGCATTATTTATCTTATTGTTCAGTTTCAAATGTTTTCTCACTGGAGTCACATTAACAAACTCAGCTGAATATTAAAGGCTCTATATTCAAGACTCTTATTGCATAGTTAGAAAGCCAGAAAAATTGTGATAGTTATAGGACATTGTTTGCTTTTTGGGTGTTAGTATTCTGTGTTCTTAGTTGCACTATTTAATTAAATAAAGAATTATTTATAGTAGTACTATTAGTATTACTACAGTGGACGAAGCAGATAGCCCAAAGTAGGTTTAAGTTTCATGGACAGTTGACAGCAAAAAAATACTATATTTCATGTGCATTCTTCATTTATTATTATAAAAGTAACTAAGTTGTAAAAATTTGAAATTTATTAGGTTAGATAATGAAAAAAATAAAAATTCTTCAAGAGGTATGCTTGCGAGCATCTCATGCATTACATAATTTGATACTGAAAAGTGAGCTACATGTATGCCCAGTGATTTACAACTTGTGTGGTGGGATTATTGGTTAGACACAGTTCAAAAGTCAGTAAAGCAATAAAATTAAGTATAAATAGATAACTTATTGAAGATAAACAAATGTGATTTCTTGTTACAAGGCCTAGAATGACCTAGTGGTTAGGGCACTTGGCTCACAATCTGTGGGTTTGTATCCCCCTTGCTGAACCTTCTCCCCCCTTTCAGCCATGGGCTGTTATAATGTAATGGTCAATTCCACTTTTTTGTTTGTAAAAGAGTAGCCCAAAAGTGGAGTTGGTGGTGTTGACTAGCTGCCTTCCCTCTAGTCTCTCTGCTAAATTAGGGACAATTAACACAGATATCCCTTGTTTAACTTTGTGCAAAATTCAAATCAAGCTAAACCAATCCTGTAATAATTTGCAGTCATTTTAAAGAGGAAAAAGGGTGATTTAGATTTATTTCCTAACTTTATATGGTAGTAACAAGGTCAGTCAAATTGACCGACTCTTTATACAGTTATGGTAGAGAAAATAATAATTGTATGTTGTACAAGTCAGGCAATAAAGCTTAAAAATAAAGTGAAAAGGTAAACAGTTGAAATTGTGAATATCATTAAAAGAAGAAATGGTATTTTTCATTTTAGTTCATAATCTTTAAAATTTTACTTCATCATACAATGATGACTTAGCAACAATTGGTGTTATGGTAAAAAAAGTAACAGATAAAATATACAGTTTTATCTTAAAGAATCTTTTGATAAGTATGAATGATTGGCACTTTTTTATTATTTAAAATTTAATAAATAATTTAAATCAGTGTTTTATATTTACACAATTTTAAAAACTATATTGAATTTTGCACAAAGCTAAACAAGGGCTATCTGTGCTAATTGTCCCTAATTTAGCAGAGAGACTAGAGGGAAGGCAGCTAGTCAACATCACCCACTCAACTCTTGGGCTACTCTTTTTACCAACAAAAAAGTGGGATTTTAAAAACTATATTGAAGTCATCAATGGCTTCCACTTTAAAAGCACACTTGACATTTACATTGTTTCGATTTCATCTTCAGGAATTATTTAAAAGTATAAAATATTGTCTTGCAAATAACCCCTGAAGATTATGTAAATGTCATCGAAACACTGACATATGGAGTGTGCTTTTAAAGTGTAAGCTGTTGACAGCTTCAATAAAGTTTTTAAAATTATGTAAATATAAAATGTTGATTTTAATTACTTATTAAATTTTTAATCTTTTGATATTTATTTAGGAGGATTTAGAGGTTATTCAAATGAAATATGAAAAACACTTTGCACCCAGGTTTATGTGTATTTATATTTAAAAATAAACTGTATGTGAAATGGTAAACAGTTGAAATTGTAAATATCATTAAAGAAGGAAAATGTATTTTTTCATTCTATTTCATAATTTTAAGAATTTCATTTCACTTTACATTAATGATATAAAAACACACACACACATTCCCCCCTCCTTATTTTTCAGTTTTCCTGAGTCCTACTATTAATCTTATAAGAATGAGCTTGATCATTTTGATCAACCTTATAACCACGAAACTTTACATACTATAACTGAATCTACTAAGTGTATCTTCGTGGAATTTAGCACAGATTTCTGGAATAGGCACCAAGTTTGAGTGATACATATTAAAGCATAGTATGAAATAATCATTATTCTGTTGGTAGCAAAATAAGGCACTGCACAAAAAAGTAAGTTTAAATCATCTTGGTGCAGCTCTACCATGAAAATTGTGGTACTAATATTGCAGAAATCTGGACATGCCACTGTCAGAACAACACAACATGTAAGCTAAGCATAACTGTTTATGCCAGCAGATTGATTAGAAAATTATTTGCAGATACTTACAAAATCTGTGCCTCCAGGCTACCCTGCTGACTATTTATTATGGTATTTTTCTGAAGGTGCAGGTATTTTGCCATAACCTGGCAGCCATTCTTCAGTTGAAGGATGCCTTGCAACAGAAGTTGATTAATTCCCATACAGAGCTTATGTAATGTAATATCAAATGCTTTTGTCAGGATGGATGTGTAAATGATAATAACAACAAAGATTTTTTTCTTCTTAACTTAGCTGAAAGTTAAGGTAAACTCTAGTCTGGCTCTGTATAAAAGAAGATACTGTTAATTTATTTTACCTTTAAATTCTAAGTTAGTTTGTTTAATCACTGCTAGTTGTTTTATAAAAGTTTACAGTAATTCATATTAATACTTTTGATTACAAAATATTTTGGATGATAACTGCTTGTGAATAAAACTGACTATTGGAAAAACTGAATATCAAGATTTGATATTTTTTAGATTATTTGGATAAGTCTTGGGTCATAATAATAGAGCATGTTCAACTTTTGAAAACTTATTATAAGTTTGTAAAATTTTTGTGAAACTTGTATGCTTAAAGAATTCATATTTTATAGTTGCTTCCTCTTTAAAAAATATAATCATTAACTTTGAAAAACTATCTGTAGAATTTGTCATTATCATCAGTTGTTATTCTTTTGTTCAGCCTCAAGGTTATATTGGCCTGTGATGTTACTTAGAAGTCAATTTGTGTAATATTCCAGGATTAGAAGGTGTGTAAAATATATAAAAGCTAGTCGATCAAATTAAAATTTATTTATACAAGTATTACACTTGTATTAGTCTTTGTAAATGGTTGGAATTCAATGTGAGTGTTTATAATTCTTATATGTGCATTAGATTCTTTTAAGTTTTGAGGGAGGCTAGAAAATGCCATTTCAAATCAATAATTTAAGAGTTCATGATTTTCAGGAATATTTTCTCAGTTCAACAACCATTCAATATGAAGGAGTTGGATACCAGCTCATCATTGTTTTTTTTACCCTGACACCATTTTTCTACTGCATCCCAGTGTTGTATTTGGTCAACTACAGACAGTATGTTTCGAATTACTGTATTTTTGGAATAGCTGCTCTTTATAGTAAGTTTTGGGGTGAATGTTTAAAAATTATTATATATGTGTGTTTTTGGTTAGAAAAATAACTTGTGCCACTGAACATGGCTTGAAAGTAATAAAATGACTTTAAAAATCTTAGGTTTAGACTCTTTTTTTTTATCATTTATTTTTAAAAAGAAATCAGGGTAGATGCATGTTTCTGCAGGTAGCTTGAAATTTTGTATAAGGCCAGAAATAGTTTAGAAGCATAGGCAAGATATTAGTTTGGTGCTGAAAATAAAGTTGTTAAAAGGTATAATAAAGATACATGTTTTGTTGGAAATTATCAATGCAGCCACTGCTCACTTTTGATAATGCCTCTATCTTTAGTCAGTTGTTCCTACAGGTGGAAATAATGTGAATTAAAAAACTAATAATAAAAATGAGTATTATTAACTGACTTAACTAATGTTTATAGAAAATTAATAGAGTGAAATTTGTGATATTAAACCTAAGTTTTAGAAAGTTAAGAAACAAGTAAAGCAGTTATTACTTATTCTAGAAACTTAAGATAACTATCTCTGCATTTTGAATTAATTGAAAAGTGTGAAAATATCTTGGGGCAAAGTGTTCAAGGAAAGCTGTTTTGTCTATTATGATTGGCTGGAAAGTGTAAAATTGAGCCTTGGTCAAAGTGGAGAAATCTCTTGAGCTTAAACATTTAGTGTGTATAAATTATAATTTCAGTTATTTTCATATCTTTGTATAAAAGATGTATTTTTACTATATGTCAATTTAGCTGCTTAGTGTTTGTATATTAAGCCTTGTTTGTCAATTATCTTTATATGTTTATATTAAAGATGCCTTTCTACTATGTGTCATTTTCAAGCAACCAGTATTCTATTGTGGGTTTATGTAATCGTGTAAAAGATCCATATAACACTCTTTCAGGCAGGATAGATTAGCTTTAATGTTTGTTATAGAAAGGATCTTGTTAGTTAACTGGTCATTGATCATTGTATTTTAGTATTTCGAACTAGTTTTAGATTTTTGGCAAATAAATGTAAGAATTTTGACTCAGGCCAGGATATAATTGTGTAATATTTTAAATAATGTAAAATGTTGTCATTGAAGTAACATTTTTATTGTATAAGTTGGATAACTTGTGATTATATTGTGATACTTTTATTTATATAATATTCTAAAATAACAACAACAATAAATTTATATTCATAAACTTTCAAAGCATTGTATGGTGATTAGTTGCTTTAAAACATTCTAATAAATGAAGTCCCCCTACCCACCCAGTATGTCAGCAGTAAGTCTAAAGGTTTAGAATGCTAAGAACTGGGTTTCGATACCCATGGTGGGCACAGCATAGATAGTTCATTGTGCAGCTTTGTGTATAACAACAGAGAAACAGAAGAAATAAATGATAAATATAAGTTTTCAGATGTTTTGATATATTAATTTGATTTTAATTCATTTTAAGTAAACAGTTTATTGGAAAATACAAAGAAAAAATATATTATGACATCATACTTGTGTTTTATGGATTCAATTGCATATCTTACCTAACCTCTACAAGATTGATATACATTTAAACATACTGTAAAATATTAAACATTTATTGCAGGTTTAGGTCTGTACATATACACACAATCCAACAGAGAAAAGTACATGTTCAGGAGAAACGCTCATGATCGATCTTTAATAAGTAAGTGATTTTTACTGTATTTTGCTACTAAGAGGATATATAACTAGTTTATGTGTGGAGTATAAATTTCCTGAAAATATTTTTTATTCATACTCAGACAGGTACAATATTAATTATATTTAAAAGCAAACAAGCATAAAAATATCTAAACTTATGTTTTAAAAAAAATGTACCATGTATAAAATAAGATTTTAAAACCATACCTTGTGATGTAAAACATGTTTTTCTGAAATTAAATATAATATTTTTTACTGAATCATTGTAGTTTTATATATGTTTTAAAGAAGGATAGCAGAATCAAATCTAAATTTTTACAATCCACTCCAAAATAGAAAGTAATGTTTTTTTATGTATAATTTTATACTGATCATTTTTACTTGGATCTTCACTTAATACTGTGTTAAATTACCTTATTCCCCAATAATGGCCTCTACTTGATGTAAAATAAAGTCCACAAGATGTGAGGAAGTATTTTGTTTGATTGTAGCCTATTTGTTGAAAATAAAAGCGTGGTCTGTGAATAGTTCACAGATGATGATAGTGGATTACATCAATGAATGCAACATACAAGTTCATCCTTGAAAATATTGAATCAGTTTGAGATCTACTATTTTGGTGGCCAAGGAACATGACTAAAGTCACTTTTTTTTTCAAGTCAGTTTTGTCCAGCGTACAAGTTGTGAATTTTTGCATAGCAATCATAGAAAAGCCCTTCTTTTTCATGGGTAAAATTCAGCATTGTAGGATGAACAATCACAGTGCTTGGGTACACTGGACATCATTCATTTTTCTAGAGGAATCCAAGAACCCAGACATTTTTACAAGAACGTTAATATCTGATTTACAGCATACAATGTTAGAATAACAAAAGTTCATGTGCCTATTGTGTTGTTCTTCATATTTGTATTATACCCTCAGTACAGGACAGGGTGAAAGAGAATTTATCTGAAAATATCGTGCTTACAGCCTTTTACTGTCTGCAGTTTAAATCCTAAGTACCATTGAGGCCATACTTTCATGTTTGCATTTGAGATAACTGGTTTCTTAGAGTGGTTTTTGGTTGCCATGGTAAAGTTGGAAATAGTTAACTCATGATAACTGTTGAAGGAATTAGTTAGCTGGGACAGAGTCCAGTATTTGTTAAATTTTACAAGCTTGTCGGTTACTAGAGGTTAGGAGCTACAATTTCTCTTTATTTCTTTTATTTTGCTGCTGGTAACAAGTGACTTCAAACAGACCATCAAAGAAACTCTTCTGATAATGAGATTCCCACTAAGATGGATATCCATTAAATGACTCTGCAAAAGTCTGTAAGATGCGTAATGTCTTGAATGCTAGCCATAATATGACAACATTTATGCATTTATAGGACTTAAGCAATTGCTTAACACACTGCATGGACAGTTTATTTTATAAATATAAACAAGAGGGTATTTTACGTATGAGTAGGTGTCCTAATAAAATTAGCTAATCAGTGTAATTAGACTGAAGTTATTAGGATATCCCTCTTTTATATTTGAACATATTTTATATTAATATGTCATTTTATTCCTTTTAAAATAAAGCAGATGTGTATTTCTAGGAATTGTTTTGATAAAAAAATAAACAGTGGGGTTTGAATAATCGAATTATGCTGCTGTGCAAAACAATTTTGAAACTTTTGAGGAATTAATCGGATTTATTCAAATCTTGTATTGCGATGTGTCGATTGTAAAACTTGAATTCTTGGAGCATGTCTGCGACTAGTTTATGAGCCATCCCGAAGGCAGCACATGTGACATGAACCTGAGTTATAGTGAACACCATGATTCAAAAGTTTTCACAGAAAATGAAATTCGATAAGTACGTTGAAATGACAGTTTCTCACGAGTGATATTTGCGGTTTTTACCAAGTTCGTCCTTACGTTGAGGAAAAAAGTATGATTTATTTTGCAACAACGTAAGCATTTATGTTAAACATATAATTGTATTTCTATAGTACATATAGCTTTGATTAATTTTTAGACTACTTATATGAAGCTATACAAACAAAAATTTTTTAATGTAATCTGAACTGTGTAATAATATTTTGGATAGTTTAAACAGAATGAGTGACTATCAAGTAGATTCAGAGATCATTGACATTTGAAGACTTCTAAAAAAAAAATCTGTGTGCTGTTAGATTGTTGAAGTTTGCTTTTTGTTTATAGAACCTAGACCACAAACAAAGCTATTTTACTATAAATTTGTGGCTTTTTCAATATTAAACCTATTCCAGTTTTTCTTTATTGCAACGATAATCTATCTAAGTTATTATTCTTGCAGATTTGGAATCAATTCCATCTTTGAATGGCAAGCGGCTTTTAATATCAGGATGGTGGGGTTTTGTTCGTCATCCAAATAAGTTAGGTGATATTATCATCTTTGTCGCCTGGACTTTGCCATGTGGTAAGTTTTTATTTTTATTCAAGAAAAAGAATATTTTTCATTGTTATTACTGTAAAACATAATTTTAAATGGCTATAAAAATTTCCTAGTATATGTTTTGTAATGTATTATTGTACTGGAGATATTTGTATAATATGTAGGCATATTATGGGTTCCCTACCTACTATTGTAATATAGAATTGTTCCAAGTTATTGTTATTTAGTTTCTGCACTATCATTGTGGTAACACTTGGTGCAGAGTTGCTAACATTACTTTGTTATAGTTGCTTTGGCCTTTGTTCTCTAGTAGATGATGTCTCCTCTGTCTGCAGAGATATTTCAGTATTGTATGTAGAATCCGGTTTAAACAGGTTAGTGCTGAAATATCTTTTGCTAGCAGATTGTGACGGCAATAGCTCACCAATGCTCTCGGGTAATAGAGGTCACAAGGTGATGCTATCCACTGGACAAAGGAAGCAAGCTGACATTCTAGCTCAAGGTACACTTTCTTTGTTCAGTTCTACTTGGCTTTCATCATAACTAGTTTGGCAGAGATTCATCTTGAGAGATGGAAAGCTAGCGAGCTATCCAGTAGAAGCGATCATCTACTTGATCATGCAGGTACGCATTACTTTTTTTTTATGTGGTGTCTAAATAAAGATTATTTTCACTGTCATCCAAATGTGCCCAATCTGTTTTGTTTATTTCTCATGCAACTTAAAATTCACTCTGTGGACTTGCAACTCTAGAGACCAGGTTTTGATACTTGTGGTGGGTAGAGCACAGATAGCCCTTTGTGTTTAATTACAAACAAATAAAATTCACTCAAGTTATTGAATACAGAACACTTCCCTTAGTTCTTGATTGAATCTGCTGGTATTTGCAGGTTTTCATGTCTGATACTTGTTGGTAAATGAGTTTTGTCTGAAAATATCATATTTGTAATATAGATGTGATGTATACTTAACTTCTGTTTCAATAAAAATGTGCATTTTTTATTAGTTGAGATAAGGAGAAATTTTCTTTTATCTGTTACCCTACAGACAAGTTTTAACATTTTCAAAAGCAAGGCTCTGAAAATTTCTCTCCCCTATTGTGATTTGTTTATAGTTAAAATAAATGTATATGTTTTCTGAAAAATGAATAATTAATTGGGTACATTTGAGTCATCCAATTATTATTTTTTCTTAAAGTATGGTTTTTTAAAACTGAAGTATTTTACTTTTGTTTGCCTAAGATAGATTTCATTTGTGGTTTTTGCTAAGTGAAATGTAACATTACATGAGACAACTGGATTCTGAATTATTGTTATCCAAGTTCATATACAATTTATATTGCATCTTTAGTGTTGTCCACATCCTCACTTAGGCATATCTGGAAAATTATAATGGGAATTGGTTCTTGTTCAATCGTCTTAGTACAATATTTTCCGTAAGCAGTCATACTGATCCCAGGACATTTGTTGGTACCATGGTAGAGCTCTGGATTTCGAAGTTGGGTTTGAAGGTGTGATACCACAAAATATTCACTGTGCTTTAAGCTGTGGTTGCATTATAAGAATCACAGTCAATCCATTATGGGTGGCAGGATGCAGTTAACTGATTGCTTTCCCTTTGGTCATTAGATCAAAATTATGGATGATGGTAGATATCTTTAGTAGCTTTAATTTAAATACAAACTGATCCCTGCTTTTTATCTGGAAAAATTCATTGGGTGTACATATTCAAGTTTGTACAGGCCAGTTTCATAGAGCTTTAATCAATAAATGGACTAATTAATACATTAAAAAATTAATTTTGATAGTAACGAGTTTTGTACATACGCATCTTTAAATTCCAAGATCAAGTTTAGGTTAAGACACAAAGCAATGATCTGACAACATAGATGGCTAGCTAACCTATGCTAAAGGTAAATAAAGATAGTTTAGTTTTTGCTTTAATAGCAGTGAAGAACAGTAGAAGATTTAAAAAAGACTTACTTAACAGCCAGACAAACACCCTGCACATAAATATTTTGCCACATACGCTGGTGATGAAGAATATAACTCAGTATTGTTTCTTCATAATCAGGCTTTACCTATATAGATCTTATTCTGTCATTAGAAAGCTTTTGAAATACCTTTAATATTTCCCATTTTCTTTCAGGCATCTTTAACAAAAAAACATTTTAATATCAGTTTTATTTTTTTACAGAAGTGAAGTGCTCTTTGCATTTGTAGCCATACTCCTTCTGGTGGAACTTTTACATTTTAGTAAAGCTATGAAGGATCACTATCTTAGACTAAGTGATTTTAATATTTCATAGAAGATAAAAAAAAAAACACCATGGTAAATAAGTTTATGTATTATGATAGTACCTCCTCATTAGGCAGTTATCATGACATTTTATTTACAATGGTGAAGAGAAATAGAAACCTAGCCAGCTTTTTTGAGGTACTCAAAATAGTTTGAAAAGTCAAAGTACTCTAGCAAAATTTGGTTACTTAGCTAACAGTGGGTCAATTAGTTATCTATCTCTATACATATTTTTGTGATAAATCTTTGAAGATCAGAATTTGGACTAGATTTAGGTGAATCAAAAGGTGACAAGTTTCCAAAGGGTTAAAGTTATACAAGTAGAAATATTACTAGTTCTGAGGCCTACTAAGTGTTATAATAACATCAACAGAATGTTTGTAGAACTCTGCAAGTTCATACTTACATTGTTTTTTTCAGATACTTTATAGTAATTAATTTTTTTATAAGGAAATATTTATAATTTTAACAATAACTTCACAATTTCTACAGGATTTGAAAACATCTTCCCATATCTGCCAGCATTTTTTGTCATAATGTACTTGGTTTACCAGGTTTTGAAGTCTGAAAGAAAATGTGAAATTCGTCATGGTGCTGCTTGGATTCGATATACTTCTTGTGTTCAGTCTCGTATTTTTCCCCAAGTATTTTGATACGTTTGTTAGTGTCCTCATGTCACATTACAGTTGCATGTTAATATGCGTCATCTGGTGTACATTGGGTAAACACTGATACAATTCGTGAGTTATTAAACTATTTTCAAGAAAATAAGGTTTTAATTTTGTGCTCATAAACATATTTATTAAACAGACCTTGTAAAGGATAAATTTTTCATATGTAAATCAATTTCATTAAAAATGTAAATTCATGCACACTCTCGTTTACTAAAACCAAAGAAAATGTTATTTATAACTTATATTGTTTAATTCCATCACTGGAGTACCATAGTGAATTACTATCTTTTAAAAGTTTTTTGTTGTTGTTTCAATAATATTATTTTAGAAACTAGCTTTAAATGGTATGTCAATTGTTTTGTTCTGATATGCAAATTTAACTCACTTGTGTATCATAAAAGATAACACCTCTAAACAAAATTATTAGTCATTAGTTCATTGAGGTTTTTCACTTTTTATAAAAAGTTTCTAAAACTATGAGATTTAAATATACATTTTTTTTATAGGATGTAAAAGATTTTTAAGCAAATAAAGCATTATTGAATTCTCAGGAGTCTACTTATCACAGCTGTCATTATTTTGTACACATTACATGTTCTAGCCAGTTGTTTTATTGAGAACCTTATGGATGACTTAGAACTTGCTGCAATAAATAAATTATATTACATAATCTATGAAACTTTTAAAGAACAAATTACAAGCTCAGTTTGATACTAGTGTAAAAAATTATGCTGTACTCCCAATGAATTATTATTTCAGCATTCTTGATTTTTTAATTTTTTTATTTTTTAATGAAAGGCTCCTTGTTGTTGGTTTGGTTGTATGGTGTCATTAGCCAGATAGTTTCGTAGCATAATCACATAATGTTGCTGCTTATTGAAAGATAAAATAGCTATTTTGGTTCATATTATATACAAGTGTATCTGAGTGGAGGGATAACATAACATAATGTTTAGGGACAACAAGGGACCTACTGGTCTATCTCAGCTGTCCCATTCTCTAAACTATACTAAGGCAATTTATATTTATACAGTAAGTTCGTGTATAAACAAAAAAATATTTCATAATAATAAAAATAGATTACTGATTTGCAAAAGTCAAAGTTTTTATTTCTAGAAATTAACATAACATTTTCGGACAACATGGGACCTAATGGTCCATCTCGACTGTTCCATTCCCTAAATTAAACTGAAACTATTAATAAATAAATTTTTAAAAATCTTAAAGCCAGCCCTTATAATTCATATAGTTATTAAGCTTTCTCTTAATCTTACTTAAATTTACTGCCTCCACAACATCAGAGGGAACCCATTCCAGAGGTCAACCATCCAGTAAGAAAAATAAAATTGTCTAAGCTAAAGATGACTCCTACCTTGTCAAAATTTATTTTTGTGTTTCCTAGTGCTACTATTCTCAATGTTAAATATGAAAAAGATGATGCATCAACACTATCAATTTCCTTTACAATCTTAAACACTTCAATCAGATCCCCTCTAACTATTCTTTTTTCAAGAGAAAACAATTTTGTAGATCTTATCTCTCCTCATATGATACCCCCCCCCATCACATGCACCGTTCTAGTAACCCTCTTCTGAATCCTTTACAACAATTCCATTTCCTTCCTACATTAAGGACCCCAAGACTGAACAAAATACTCCAAATGTGGCCTAACCAGTGACTTGTACAATGAAATTATAACCTCTTTAGACTTGTATTTAATATTTTTGTAGATACAACCTAAAATCCTATTTGCTCAACCACTAGCAACAGCACACTGCTTGGATGATTTAAGAGTTTGATCAACCATTACACCAAGATCCCTTTCTTTCATGACACTGTTAAGGTTATTCCCATCCAAATTATACTTATAATTTAAATTATAATAACCTACATCCATTATCTTGCATTAATTACAAGTAAAACCCATCTGCCATTTATTTGCTCAACTCACTAAATGATCTAAATCTTTTTGTAAAGCAGCAGCATCCTCTTCACAGCTAGCAACACCCAAGACCTTAATATCATCTGCAAATTTAAGTAACTTATTGCCCATTCCATCATCTATGTCATTGATGTAAATCAGAAAGAGCAAAGGTCCTAAGACTGAACCCTGTGGTACCCCATTTGTGACATTAATCCAGTATGACTGAACTCCATTTTTAACAACCCTCTGCTTTCTTCCATCCAGCCACTCTTCTATCCAATTAGCTAACTTATCACCCACACTTATAGAGATAATTATTTTTACAAGCCTTTTATGTGGCACCTTGTCAAGTGCTTTCTGAAAATCCAGGTACACCAAATCTACACCCTTACCATCATCTACATAAGCAGCAACCTTTACAAAGAATATCAAAAAATTTGTTTAGGGAAAATTTTCCCTTAGTGAAACCATGTTGACTATGCAGTAAAATTTTAAACTTTGTTAAATGACTTTGCAAAGCATCTTTTATGAGACTTTCCAAAACTTTTCCCACAACTGATGTAAAAGTAATGGGCCCACAATTACTGTGACAATTTTTATCACCTCCCTTGAAAAGGAGTGACATTAGCTAACTTCCAATCCTCTGGTACCTGCCTACTATTTCAGGACTGACAAAAAGAAAAGTAGTAAGTGGCTTACATATCCAATCCTTAACCTCCTTTAAAATCCTTGGGGAAATATTATTTGGCCAGGATCCTCATCGTTCTTTAAACTTCCCAATTTTTTTCTTAACAAACTCATAATTAATGCAGTCATCTGGTTCCATCTTGTTTCTATCTATCAACTGTTCAAGATGTGAAATAATGCTTAAATCTTAATTAGTAAAAACTGAAGAAAAAGCAGAATTTAATAACCCAGCAATCTCATAATCATCAGATCAAGCCTTTCTTTATCATCCCTCAAGAGTCCTTCCCCAAACCTAACATTTTGCTAACCCTTAATATACTTAAAGAAATTCTTACTGTTAATTTGTACATTTCCAGCCAACCTTATTTTAATACATCCTAGATTCCTGTTTGGCCAACTTTCTTGATCTTCTAGAATCTTCCAAATCTCCTGCATACCAGTCAATTTTAATTTCTTAAATTGTGGTGCTTTTCTTTAATTTTATCTCTTATACTCTTTGTGAGCCAACCTGGTTTTTTACTTTCAGCCACCCTTTTCTTTCTATAAGGAATATGTTTATCTTGAATATTTATAAAATTATCCATAAAAATTATTCCATATTTCTTCAATTTGGCTTATCTAACCAAATCGGTACAATATTGTTGTGTTAGCATATGTGTAATCTTTGTAAAGTTACTTAAGAAAGTTACCTACAAACACAGATATGTAATGTAAATTGTACACAATATAAGAAACGAAAAGGCTAATTTTTTTGAGATAAAATTGAATACTAGTAAAATGATAAATTATTCCAGATTTCATAAAATTATTGAATATCTTATGGGAATGTAAACAAGACTTGTACAAAAAATTGATAGAAATTAAAATTTTTATTTGAAAAAGCAAGTGTTCATTTCATTTGAATTTCTGTGAATCTCATTAATCCCAAGCTCTAGGTGTTAGGGCTGAAAGGTTATTACTACTAATGCAAAAACATGATTTCTAGCACATTATTAGACAAAACCAGTTCTCAGTTTTCTTTGGTTCTTCTATATATATAGTTTTGAATTACTTCAACAATCCAAATTGGTCATTTAGAGTGGTGAACAGTCTTAATGTGTTTACATCACTAAACTTTAAACATTGTCTTATCAAACCGTGTGATTTCTACTCTTGAAATAATAATTGGCCAACAATAACGACAAATGTTAGTACATTAAAACTACCATCTGGTAGAAGTATGATCACGTGAAATGGAATTTAAAGATGCTGCTTCAAGGCTACTGTTCTACGTGGGTAGTTTAAAAAATGTTTGTCTAAGAGATAAAAAAAGAAAATCACGTGATTTTTCGTGCTATTGGATGGAAGATTGGACACTATTTATTGAATTTATAATGCTTTTAACTTTTAGTGCGTTTTTTTATTTTCCTTTAACAGTCGCTCTTTTAACTTTCAATATTCGTTAGGAAAACATTCGTAATGCCACTGATAGGAATTTAAATGAGAAATGTTTACAAAAAGACATTAAAGTTACACTGGATCTCAATGTCATGAATATAAATCATGTAAGAGGCTAGAATAAGTAATAAATTGGTACTGAAATGATACAGTGACTTAAAGTTTAAAGCAAGATTAGGCAATTTCGGGGGGGGGGATATAAGTCCTCAATTGACCTTAACCATAACTGTTGTGCGTAAAATGTAAACAAAACCTCTCTCAATACTGCAATTAAACCCATCTTACATGTTGGGGGGGGGGGGTCTCCGTTGTATTTTACAAAGAGTATGAATGACTTCACCCACTATATTTTTGGATAGTTCTTACATTGAACGTTGTAATATGTAAAAGCATAAATGTACTCAATATGTTAGTAAACAAGTCGGTAATATGAGGGTTAATTACTTAATTTCTACTAATTACCCAAAATACGTAATGAAGTTTTCACAAAAAAAATACAAATAATTTGCGAGACATTTTGTTTCCCTGTCATTAATGAGTGAATGGAGAAATGTAACAGTTCTGAGCATTTCTAGTAATAATTGAACTCTCCAAGTTCCACTCAACTGTTTTTCAAAGGTCGTCAAAATTAGAGCAAAAAATATTACTTTAGAGTTTGAGTTGTTTGTTTGAAGTTAAGCTCGGAGCTATCCGTGCTCTGCCCACGACGGATATCGAAACCAGATTTCTAGCATTGTAATGTAAGTCCGCAGACATTCCGCTGTGCCACTAGGGGGCTGGAGTTTGAGCTTCTATTCTGTAACATTTTTGTTGTTATTATAAATAGCAGCAGAGGTAAGCCTTGATTACCATTTAGGAGTTAGATTAATATCTACAGAGGAGCATAGATGTGTTGAGTTTTTCTAAGAGGAGGTTAACAGTTGGAATTGTAAGTTAGATAGCATCTAGGAGCCAAATTTTAAAATGTTTGGGATCACTTTTGGAGTTAATAATTAGGTAAAGGATGTATGTATTTCTTTAAAAACGATCTATGTAATCCTAAAGAGATTTTTTTAAAGAGTTAATTCCAAATAAACTATTTCGTCGTCAAACAGTAACACTGTATTTCGGGGCTGCGAGCCGGATTCAAATCCGTGTGATAAAAAATATTCCCGTCTTTAAGCTGAATGTGCGTTATAAGAGTGACAGTCAATTCCGTAATAGTTGGAAGAGTGCTGCTGACTGGCTTCCTTCTCTGTGGTCAGTAGTTCAAAATCTTGTTTGTTTAGAATTTCGCGCAAAGCTTCACGAGGGCTATCTGCGCTAGCCGTCCCTAATTTCGCAGTGAAAGAGTAGAAAGAAGGCAGCTTGTCATCACCACCCACCGCCAACTCTTGGGCTACTCTTTTACCAATGAATAGTGGCATTGACCGTCACATTATAACACCCTCACGGCTGAAAGGGCGGGCATGTTTGGTGGAGTTCAAAATTAGGGACGGCTACAGACAACCTTAGTAGTATTGTCATAAACACAAATAGCACCCTTCACATCTTTTACGGGGTATACACCATTAAAAAATGTTTCATGGTAAACATCAGAATATTGTAGCCAGGTAAAACTTTGTTTATGGCTATTGGAAAATATAATTTGCGACAAGATAAAAAATAAAGACATTGCAAGTTCAAATACATTTTGATACATTAAAATTTATTTGTGTTATAAATAAAATTCAAATTAGAAATTAAAAGCATTGTTTTTTATATGTTCAAGATGAGACACGTGAGCTAAACGAACAGTTTGTCTTTTTGGGTAGTGCTGCGCAATGGGCTATGTGCGATATACTAATTTCGAATTTTAGTGTTATAAGCCCTTGAACTTTCCAGGTTAGAGACCATTAAGGTATAGACATCTATAGCACCTCATCAACTGAAAATTCTACTTATGCCTTTTCTGGTACACAGCCCCCCCCCCCCCAAAAAAAAACAACAACAACAGAAAACAAATCCAGTTTGGTATAATTATCTTTTCAGTTTGTTTAAATCAAAATATAGGATAGTGATTACGTGTCATTGGAAGCTGTTGATTGTATTCATGTTAATATCTGTTTTAATGTTACTTTTCTTACTAGTAGACAAAATGGTGTACGTATTCATAAAATAGATCAGCTCCTGAATCACAGGAAAAATAAAATATTTTGGTATCTTCGCTCACCAGAAATTGGTGAAAACATCAATAACTGTTGTTATTAATTAAACGGTAGCGTGTCATGTCCAGGCGATGTCTGGGCGAGCGTTGTTAAATTGTTTGTTTCGCAAAAACAAAACCAGTTTGTTGCAGTAAAGGCTGTTGTGAAGAGTAAAGAGAGGGAACAAATTATAATCAACGAGTTGACAGAATCACATGTGAGTACGTAATTAAGAATAGTATTTAGTTTTTAAGATTGAATGCTCCCCGTGCGTTGAACGGGTAACTGTTTAATTGTTTATAAAAACTTTCGTTTAGAGGTAATTACTCAAAGTGTAGTTGTATCATAGCTGGGTCTGATCGGAAGTTAATATTAATTACAAATCTAGTCTTTCGTTGTTAACCGTATGGTTGTACAACCAGCTCCAGGGTAAATAAGAAGATTAACGTGATGTTGATACGTCATTTCCGTTTTACGAGTAAGCCAGTAAGTACATAACCTGCTCTTATCGGAAGTTAACATTAATTGGTTTGTTACATCAGTCAACACTGAATTCAGCGGTTACTGAGATGTAGTGGTTGTATTTATATAAATATGCCTCCCAGTGGCACAGCGGTATGTCTGTGGACTTACAACACTAGAATCCAGGTTTTGATACCCGTGGTTGGCTGAGCACAGATAGCGCATTGTGTAGCTTTGTGCTTAATTACAAATAACAACAACTATATAAATATAATAATACTGTGTGTTGTTAAAGGTTTAATTTTACATCAAAACCATAAAGATACTGTGTTTGTGTTAGTTTCTAAGTATTGTCGTCGATTTTAAATTACAAAGTAAGTTGAGTAGTTTGGCTAGCTGAGAGAGTTGTTGATTATACTAATCAATAGAGGGCTGAACAAGAGTTTAGGTTTTATTCTGTACAACACTTTTTAAAAACCTGTTCTTATAAATCTGTTACTTGGTTACCATTTTTTAAAAAAGAAATCACGCATGAAAGTTTTAAAATTCATATGATTATTTCCGCCAATGATGTAAAACAATAACAGTTTTGTAACAACGGGTTTAAAAAAAAACACGTATAAAAGTATTAAAATTCATATTATTGGCGGAAAGTATTATATTTAAATGTTTGTTCGTGCTAATTTCATATTAATAGAATGCTTGAAAAAAATTTTTCATTATTAGTATCTTTATATATTTGACTTATACTGTTACATGAAAAGCGAAATTTTTATCCTTTCTGTTTAAAAATAGCTAAACATCGGACCTCTGTTCAGGTAATACCCGGGTAAGGACGGCTAGTCATTAAATATTGTAGTTGTTTACTAGAAGTCTTATTTTTATATAGCATCTGAAAGTCTGAATTTTTTCACAGGAAAAATTAAGGAATCACTGGAAAAAGTAGTATATTTCTTACTAAAGAGTTTTTAATGCACTTGACGTTTTCAAGTTCTAAGATAAGATCGATGCAGGTTCAATGAGAAAATATGATGGGGATGAGAGTAAGGATATGTTTGGGACATCCTCAAATCACACGCCAATTTTCCTCAGGTTGTCCACTCACGTGCTGCATATATCTATATGTAATTGTTAAGGATATGTTTGGGATCTCCCCAAATCACAAGCCACTTATCTTCAGATTTACTCGTGGCACATTCACATGCTTCATATATCTATATATTAAAGTTCTCGAAAGTCAAACCGCAAACACAGAGGTTGGTTAATTTAAGAGTTTGTGGTGTTAGCTATTTAAGACAGGAAGGCAAAGAATATTAGACACATACGATGTATCATGTATCGATGTTTGTCCACTAACAGTGAATGTTTTTATTGCATAGTAAGTATCCACATGTAGTTAGTAGTTTTGATTATACTTTATGTAAACTTTCTTCATTCTCTCACACCTGCCCCGAATCCTCAGTCAATGTCTAGAAAAATCAGAATAGAAAACCATGATCGATATCATACCGAAACGCCGAAAATTCCCACACCTATGGGCCCGAGCTCCGAATCTTTTAAGTTCCTAGAAACAACTCTGCTTGTTGTTTATGCAATGGTCACTGATGACTCCAGAGGAATATGTAAAAATACGACTCTGCAAACCATTTCATCCAACAAAATAAGTCAGTCCTTGAACACATGCTTTTCATACAATTTATAAGATATATAAATAAATGACCTACTATACTTAAAATATTGAGACGTTTCATTATATTATATTGATGAAAATCACTTCTGGATATACAACTCATAATTTTAAATGCTCACGTCAATGCTAGAATTTTGAATTTATCTAAATTGAACATATTTTATACATAATTAATTGGCGTCTTTTCTCAGATATGAGATTAAATAACCACTTTGGTAAAATACGTTATCTTGAATCATCCAATAAAAGATGCAGATTTAATGTTTGACGTTAAATTGCCGCTTAATTTTTAAGCGTTTGTTATTCACTTACACTTCTTTATTTTATTTTTTATTTTACAAAATATAGAAGTTAGTCATGAACTGTTTATATTACCGACACTTACGTACAGTTCACAAAGTTCCCATTAACACAACACAAGTTCTGGTTCATTTTGAATCCTGTGTTCAAAGGCTCTTCGTTGCAGATTTGGCTGAATAAAACCACTGTTTCATTATTCACTTCCCGTTCGATCCAGTTACAAAATATTTGGCCGACTGAGATATCAACTATTGATGGAATATAATGCATATCACCACCACCAGTCTGAAGAGAGAACTAAAATAGAAAAAAATAAAATAAAATGTATTCGGTAGCTTTTAAGAAAATTATTTATCGGGGAATATATTTGGTATTTCTACAACAAACTTGTTAGTTGGAAAAACTAGTTGTTATTTTATAGATCACTTTTAAAAATCAGACTATTATTCTAACCTCCATTTAAAAACAAAACATTTCAGTAATCATTTATATCGAGCTTTTAAGTAATAACCAAAACAGCGTCGCAAGACCAAAATTCAAAGGGTCGAGCGCGGTCCAGTAGTCTACGTGCAGGGCTGTGGAGTGGAGATTTCGTGGTTCGCGTTCAATTATCGAAAAAAAATCGCTCCGCATTTTGGGGCTATTGAGTACGTTAAAAGTTTGGTTTGTTTGGATATTTTCGCAAAGCTACACGAGGGCTATCTGTGCTAGCCGTCCCTAATTTAGCAGTGAAAGACTAGAGGGAAGGCAGCTAGTAATTACTACCCACTGCCAACTCTTGGGCTGCTCTTTTAACAACGATCGTTACCTTATAACACCCCCACGGGTGAAGAAGCGAGCATGTTTGGTAGGACGGGGATTCGAACCCGCGACCCTCAGATTGCGAGTCAAGCGCCCTAACCAACTGCCCATGCCGGGCCTACGTTAAAAGAGTGGCTGTCAAATTCTACTATTCGGTCTGACAAGAGTTAGCACTGAGTGGTGTTTACTAGCTACCTTTCTTCTTGATTATAAAACACTGATATATAAACCTGGTTAAACCAATTCATTGCTCTGTAATAATTTTATATCATTACAGTGTTATTTGTGTGATAAATAACATGTTAGTAGAACTGAATATGATCTGTTTAATAAGTTATGTTTTATCACACACTGCATACTTAGTGTAGAAATATAAAGTTATATTAATCCTAAAGGTTTTGGAATATCAAACGAAATACTTTCATATGTGAAAGTCTGTATTCGATAGTATCAGGACTGATTTATTTCTAGAAAAGTCTAAAGCTTATTCAGTACACAAGTCTGAACTGTTTTGAATACAACGTTTTTGACGCTAAGAGCTCGAAATATTTAAAAATATATCAAAAGTACTTGATACTAGATTTATGTTCCTTTTTGGGTCAGTGGTATGTTTAAGGATGTACAGCGTTGAAATCCGGGACTCGATTCTCCGTGGTGAACAGAGCACAGATAGCTTGTCGTGTAGCTTTGTGCTAAAACAAACAGGAAACTTCTTGATATATTTATATATTAACATTCTGAAATTTATTTTATGCCTCCGATGGCTCAGCGCTAAGTTTAAGGACTTTTGACGCTAATAATCGGGTTTCGATTCCCGTTGTTGGCAGAACACAGATAGCTCATTGTGCAGCTTTGTTTTTAACAACAAACAAATAAACAAAACTAGATATTTAAACTTCAGAGCACCTAGGTTTAATTATTTACTGTGGTCAGATAAAAAACAAATAACGTCCGTATCAACCCTTTCTTTGTCTGTAAAGATTTAGGTTTAACTCTATACTGTATTGTGATATATATATACTCAACTGTTTGTGGGGAAAAATATTTGAAACAAACCAAGATGAGTGATTTTTTATTTCATATTTATAAATCAATATTTCGAGAATTCTTGGTAAAGTTCAGTATCTTCAGTGATTTAGAAAGATGGTAAAGTTGAAGTATTGTGTAGTAATGATTCGTACTGTTGATCAGTCCATATGTTTACATTGAACGTGGTATTACTCTGAGAAGGATAGCCGTCTCTAATTCTGAATTGATAGACTAGAAGAAAGGAAGCTATTCAACAGCACCCACTGCCACTTCTTGGGTTACCCATTTCTAACCGAATAGTGAGATTCCATTGTCACTCTTTATAGTGCACTCACGACCCAAAAGTACGGAGAGCACTTTTACAGGAATAGGCTACGAACCATGAACATTCGAATTTAGAGTCCAAGGGCGCTAACCACTAGGACACGTCCGTAAGAAGAAAAAGAGAAGAAGATGGTCCATAAGTAGCTTTACGGGTTGAATATTATTTAACAACCTTTAAATTTAGTACTATATTGTATCAGTAGCATTACTCCAAATGAGTTGGTATTAATCTAAGGCTTTGTATGGAACTATTTTAGTTAGGGGTTTACAGACTAATGTCACCGTGATCGAATTGAAGAGAGACAAAACTTTGAGTATGTAATGGTATACAGATTTTAAATAACAGTTGGCTGGATTTTTCATGGACCTGTACACTTTGCTTTATTTCTTTGTTGTTATCATATGAATCATTAAGAAGCTTGAGTTGGTAAAAGAAACTGAAGTTTGTTCTGGTATAATAGCAAAAGTTGTTAGAATTAGACGTCGTTATGAGGTGTTATTTCAAATTATTTTCAACCAGACATATTTAAAGTGAGATCCATGAATAAGCAAAAGATTCGAAAGAGAACACGTAGCTGACAGTTTTGGAAAACGACCTTAATCTGGATATGGGAAACGGAAGTCTGGTGCATAAAAATAGACAGGAAACATCTTAGTTTGTGAACAATCATGGAAAGTTGTGAGAGGAGTGGTGTTTCATTCCATCAGATGTCTAGCATTTATTTATTAATAACAAACTAGTGGTTAACGTGATAGGCGGGTGTGCTTCATTTTAAAATAGGGGGTGATATAGTGGCAAAACATTTACCCCCCCCCCCCTCAACTTGCTTCCCAAGTAGTTTTGACAATGTAATTTGTATTATTTAGAAAGTTAATTAATATACGTTATTTTACTAAATCATAATTATTACGCATATTGTTACTATCATTCAGGCTATCTGAAATTAAATATACCATACTGTAATTGTAATCTTTTTTTTATCATCTGATGGAAAACTAACATACATTAGTGTTTTGGCCAAGTTGTGGAAGTCTGTATTTAAAATAAGCAACTCTTGATAGACGTTCAGGTACATACAAAAATAAGACTTAATAAGAACACCTGTCAAAACACCTATTATCTA